AAAAAAAAAAAAAAAAAAAAAAAAAAAAAAAAAAAAAAAATCTATCTCTCTTTGGGAATGAAGACACTGTAGTACTCTTGTTCCTGTGAACAATTCTCTATGTGTAGTTACTGGCTTTATAGAAGGTGGAGTAAGACATTTGCAGCCCTGCCCAGGTACTAACCCTTTGCTTTTAGCCCCAAATGACTTATGAAATTTAATAAACTCTTCTAAGCCCTTGCACATGAAATATGTTCAGTGTATGATTATATTTGGTTTCTCTGGCATGCAACCTGTATGTTATGTAACCTTCACCACTTTACAGCAGTGCTTTGGACAATGATTTCTTATTAAAAAGACTTTGGCTTTCCCCTTCCTGAACATGTAAAGCACATTTGAACCGACATCTTTTAAACAGATAAATTGTGATTTGCTCACATACAGCTTAATTGACTCGGGGATATTTCCTCTTCATTATACCTCTCCCCATCAATTTGAAGAGGAAATCAGTAAGACCTCACCATGAACCCTCTTTACCTCTGTATTTCCTCTTTTCCTCTCTGAGAAATCTGCTGAAATCTGGGTCTGACTTTTGAAAATTTTCCAGGCTTCCAGCCACAGTGATCTCAGCTCTCTAAGACCATAGTGGTCCACAGCTTCAGAGCTCCCCATAGGAAGCTGGTCCAATGGTTGGAACTCCAGAGGCTCCTCCCTGCCCACCCCCACTTTGTGGTGTTCGCCTGTCAAAGACTCTGGCACACATAAGGGCAGTTCTGGCTGCCAGATGCTCATCCAATCATCTAGTTCCTTCCGCCTCCGTTTTAGGAGAAAATAACCAGGGAAAGAAGAGGAAATGATTGTGTTAATGATCAGGGCCCCAGAAAAATCTAGTGTATATGCTGGAGGAAGATAATGTGGGAAAGGAGGGCCCTGAGCACCTGCTTGAGAAATTTCCATTTCGTTCTATCTGATTCACTTTAATATTTTTATGAGTAAAATTCTGTAATGTGAGCAGTGGAGATACGTAAGACATACAAGAGGTATGTCCACATGCAGATCCACAATCTAGTGGAGGAGGAAGGAAAATACAGACAGAACTTAAATAAAACCATATTATAAACCTAGAAGCAATGCTCTGTGGGAATAGAGAAGAGGAAAAAGGTTATTTCAATGGGAAGACTCTCAGAAGGCTTCGTGTAGGAGGTAGCATTTTAGCTCAGTCTTGAAGAATGGGTATGATTTAATGAAAGGATTTTTCTGGGAGTGGGGGCAGAGGTCAGCAAGGATATTCCTGGGAGAAAGAAGAGAAAACAGCTTGAATAAAATCCCCTAGAAGAGACAGTAAGTGGTGAGAGACAGACAGGAATCAGTAAGTTCTTGAACAATTAATTTTAGCTTAAAAGTCATATGGCAGGCCAAGTGTGGTGGCTCATGCCTATAATCCCAACGCTTTAGGGGACCGAGTTAAGAGAATCATTTGGCCAGGTGTGGTGATCATGCCTGTCATCCCAGCACTTTGGGAGGCCAAGGCAGGCAGATCACCTGAGGTCAGGTGTTCGAGACCAGCCTGACCAACATGGAGAAACCTTGTCTCTACTAAAAACACAAAATTAGCCTGGCGTGGTGTGCATGCCTGTAATCCCGGGTACTCAGGAGGCTGGGGCAGGAGAATCCCTTGAACCTGGGAGGCGGAGGTTGCGGTGAGCCGGGATCACGCCATTGCACTGCAGCCTGGGCAATAAGAGTGAAACTCTGTCTCAAAAAATTAAGAAACAGAAAAAGAATCACTTGAGCCCAGGAGTTTGGGACCAGCTAATACAAAAATTAGCCAGCTGTGTTAGCGTGCATCTATAGTCTCAGCTAGTTGGGAGGCTGAGGCAGAAGAATCACTTGAGCCCAGGAGGTCAAGGCTACAGTGAGCCATGATGGTGCCACTGCAGTACAGCCCAGAGTGAGACCATGTCTCAAAAAATAAACAAAAACCAAAAGTCATATTGAGGAAGAGAAATATGAAATTATAATAGCTACATGGAGCACAGGGAAAAAAGGTAACTTTGGAGTTTTCATTTAAAATAAGTTTTGTTAAGAAAACATGGCAGGTGTGGTGGCTCATGCCTGTAATCCCAGCACTTTGGGAGCCCACAGCAGACAGATCACGAGGTCAGGAGATTGAGACCATCCTGGCTAACACGGTGAAACCCCATCTCTACTAAAAATACAAAAAATTAGCCGAGTGTGGTGGCAGGTGCCTGTAGTCCCAGCTACTCAGGAGGCTGAGGCAGGAGAATGGTGTGAACCCGGGAGGCAACGCTTGCAGTGAGCCGAGATCAGGCCATTGCACTTCAGCCTGGGCGACAAAGCAAGACTTCATCTCAAACAACAACAACAACAACAACCAAAAAAAAAAAAAAAAAAAAAACATGGCAAAAGTACCTTGGACGATATAGAACATCTTGGGAAATGGTAGTTCAGATACTATGAGGATTAAGGTAGAGGTTGGAAAAAGGAATAATACTCCTATACAGGATAACAATTCTTATATTTAAGATTACTGTAAGGATAAAGAAGGTAATTTAGGTAAAAAGCTTCATACTAACTCCCTAAATGGTAGTTACTATTGCTATTATTTTTGAATTATGTTTATTGCTATTGTTGTAACCGTGTGAAACTTAAGTATAAAAAAGCAAGACTTGAAAAATGCTAGTCTATGAGAAGAGAGGGGCAGAAACTATCAAAACAAGACCCTAGAGCTGGCTCAGTGGCTCACACCTCTAATCCCAATGCTTTGGGAGGCCAAGGCAAGAAGATTGCTTGCATCTAGGAGTTTGAGACCAGCCTGGGTAAGATAGCAACCCCGTCTCTACAAAAATAAAAATAAAAAAACTAGCCAATCTTGGCGGGATGTACCTGTGGTCCTAGCTACTCAAGAGGCTAGTGGGAGGACTGCTTGCACCCGGGAGTTTGAGGCTGCAGTGAGCTTTGGTTGCACCACTGCACTTGGCAGCCTGGATGACAGAACAAGACCCCTTCTCTGAAAAAAACAAAAACACAAAACCAAAACATGACCCTAAGGATTTGGAGATGGAGGTGCCATTGGATAAAGAATAAGGCTGAGATCTGGGACACTTTAGTCCCCTGTGGATCCTTTCCTCCAGCTTTGTGCTCTAAGCCTGCCCAGCTTCTTCAACTGCCAGAAACCCCTTCTGTTTCCCCAGCAATTTCCTACCCATCTCTCTAAGCCCAGGTCAAATGCCACCCCCATCCTAGAGGCTTTTTCCTCTCATCAGTCAGAATGCATGAGTGTTTCCTGCATGTTCTCGGAACAGGCTACTTGTGTTTGACAATGCAAATACTTGTGTGTCTGTCTGCCTCACTAGATTCTTTTGGGTTCCTCACACTTAGTGAGTGCTCAAGAAGCATTTATTGAGATAAAATGTGACACATAGTGAGTTTAAAGTTTACTATACATACATTTTTTCCATAGATGTTAGGGTTAGCCTCAAGCCCCAGATGTGCAAAGAAGTAAATTTACTTTTCTGTAAGTCCCATTCATCTCTCTCAGGGTGACAGATAATTAGTAGTAGTTAGGGGTATCTCCTGCTTTCCCCCACGTTGCCTATAAGTGCAAGAGGGCTCACTAGAGCCCTGTCTTCAATCTACACAGCTCATGGCTGAGTTGTCCCTGTCCCTTGAGACTTCTCTATGCCTCTCAGGCTCAAAGGAACTCATTCTACTGCCTCTGTGCTGTTTGGACTCAGCTGCTCAGACACTTTCACAGACATAACTGCTCTGGGCTATGCTGTCTTTTGGGTCTACAAGAGGACGGGGCACCCTTTTCCCTAAGCTTCCCCAAACCCATCAGTTCATCAGTGGTTTCTGCTGTCATTTCCCACCATTGCTCCCCGAGGCCAAGTCAGAAAATGCAGGCTGGGCGTGCTTTAATCCCAGCACTTTGGGAGGCCAAGCTGGGCAGATCACTTGAGGTCAGGAGTTTGAGGCCAGCCTGGCTAACACAGTGAAGCCCCATCTCTACTACAAATACAAAAATTGGCCAAGCATGATGGCATGTGCCTGTAATCCCAGCTACTCGGGAGACTGAGGCAGGAGAATCGCTTGAATCTGGGAGGCAGAGGTTGCAGTGAGCTGAGATGCGCTGCACTCCAGCCTGGGTGACAGAGCAAGACTCTAAATAAACAAACAAACAAACAAACAAACAAACAGGCAGACAGAGCTCAGGCTTCCTTTCTCAGGGAGCTACCTGCTAATGATTTTTATCA